GGCTCAAACCCACGATCCGTGAGGTCATGACCTGGGCTGAAACCGAGAATTGGCCACTTAACTGACTGAGCCACCCAGGTGCCCCTATATAAGTTATTTTTAACAATATAATATAGTAAGTATATAGTATGTGATATAGAACATTACATAGAAATGTATAAAATGTATATAAATACATACATATTATAGAAATATATATTATGCATATGTGCATAATATACATTCATTCTACATATGAATGTACACAAATATTATGTATGGTATATTTTAATAATTTTTACTGATGGTTCCCCACATTCCTAAGATTTTGATCATCTGTCTGGCTGGCCGGTTGAAGGGGCCCCAGCACACCATTGCTCCCAGGCGGACGGGATGCCAGGGTCAAGGAAAGGGAGATTCCCTGTTTCTGGGCAGAGCATATGGCATGGCTGTTCCCGGAGCCTGGGCAGGCAGGGGGGGAGCATGCTTCGGGGACAGGTCGCGAATTTGGGTTTCGTCCTAGTGTTCAGGCGCCGTTAGGACATCCACGGGCCCCACCCCAGGCTCGTTGGGAGCAGCAGTGTGGGGACTCCGGGGGCCTCCCCGTCCAGGTTGTGGGAGCGCAGGCTGCTGACCATTCCCTCATGTGGCCCCTCAGCCCTCAACAGCCTGACAGGCGAGTTCAAGGGGAAGTACTACCCTCTGAAGAGCATGACCGAGCAGGAACAGCAGCAGCTTATTGACGATCACTTCCTGTTCGACAAGCCCGTGTCCCCACTGCTGCTGGCCTCAGGCATGGCCCGAGACTGGCCCGACGCCCGCGGCATCTGGTGAGGTCCCCTCCCCCCAGCCTCCTCCAGTCCCCCCACTCCCCTCCCCATTCCTCCACCAAAGCCAACACCATAAAAACAATTATGTTTCCAGGCGCCCCAGACAATGACCTCGCCTTCCACCCCTGCCTACTTTGTGGTCTGTGAGTCACATTTTAGGAAACTTGGACCAGGGAAGTGGCAATTAGGGACTTAGACTTGCACCAGACTCCCTGGGTTCCAATCCCAGCACTGCCATTTACTAGATGTGACCTCAGGCACATTATTTAACATTTCTGTGCCGACCGAGCCCCACATTGGGCTCCACACTGAGCGTGGAGCCTGCTTAAGATTCTCTCTCTCCCTCTGCTCCTCTCCCCTGGTCTTCCTCTCCTTCTCTCTCTCTATATATACACCAGTGTCTGGTATATAGTAAGTGACCAACATCTTGGCTATTAGTTTTATCTTCGACTGTTGCTAGTTAGGTTTGTATGAATCCTTGAATCCCTGATTCTGATTAGGCAAAGATTTTCAAAGGTTTCAAAAGCCTAGGTTTCAGATGATCAGGAGAATGTGTGCGTTCTAAGACATACACATTTTAAATATTTTTAGGTTCTAAGATTCCACTAATTTCAGATTCTGTGATTCCACGGTTGCAGACATTTCCAGATCTTAATGTTTTATCTGAGATGTCACAGGGTGATGGGAAGATTGGTCCTGGGACCAGAAGTAGGATTTCCAAGATTTGTCAATTCTGATTCCCAGCTTTTGTTTTTCAAAGATTCTGAAATTCTAAGAGTCTGTAATTTAACGCCGTTCAAAGACTTAAGACCCTCAAAGTCTTTGATCCTAGGACTGGCGATTTCTCAGATTCTAGGACGTTAGGGTCTACAGGTGTAAGCTTCCGCGATTTTCAGGAGCCAGT